TTATTTATATTACTTTAACTAGACTTCATGAGTTCACTTAGCTGTCTTTTCAGAACACAAAACTGAATGTTTACATTTCAAAAACTTCAAATTCCATTTCTCTGATCTAGCCAAAATTATTAGCTTTTCCATTTACAAACTATAGTAAATTCTTAGGGTTTTTATTTGTTTTTTAATACCGGAAAAGACAGAGATGACTTGCCAAAAGTTGACAGATGGTCAGTAACACAAATAAAGCCTTTTTTGGCCAGATGTAATGCCTCATGCCTGCAACACCAACATTCTGGGAGGCTGACGTGGGAGGATCACTTGAGCCTAGGAGTTTGAGACCAGCCTAGGCAATATAGTGAAACCCTGTCTCTACAAAAAAAAATTAAAAATTATTCAAGCATGGTAGTGTACATCTGTATTCCTACCTACTCAGGAGGCTGAGGTGGGAAGTTCACTTCTGCCTAGGAGTTGGAGGCTGCAGTGAGCTATGATCATGCCACTGGACTTAGGCCTAGATAGATGATAGAGTGAGACCCTGCCTCTTAAAAAAAAAAAGCCTTTTTTATGTTTTTTAAACAGTAAAGGAGTTCCACATATATTTTGCCAAAGAAAATTCTATTTGCTGAAATGCTGGAACAAATTATTACGTCCACTAAAGGTGATATCATTGCTTAGACATTTCTCAAAATACAGATACTTGAAATTCCTTTCTAAATCTCAAAATGCAGATGTTCCCAGACTACAAAGGATTAAATTAACTGACATCAGAATACAAATTTTCTTCCATTTGGCAAATGAGATGCCTTAGTTCTCTCTATCTCTCTCTCTCTCTCTTTCTTCTTTTTTTGAGACAAGAGTTTTACTCTGTCACCCAGGCTGGAGTGCAATGGTGCAATCTGAACTCACTGCAATCTCTGTTTCCCAGGCTCAAGTGACCTTCCATCTAGGCCTCCTCAGTAGCTGGGACTACAGACGTGCACCACCAGTCTCAGTTAATTTTTTTCTTTTTAATTTTTTTGTAAATAGAGACAAGGTCTAGCTATACTGCTCAGGCTGGTCTCAAGCTCAAGTCATCCTCTCACCCCAGCCTCCCAAAATGCTGGTATTACAGGCATGAATCACCATGCCTGGCCTTCTAATGCTACTGGCTAAATACCTTCTGCTGTCATTTATAGTATGTAAGTATGGTTGTACCTTTCTCAAAAATCCAGTAAAACTGCTTTTAAAGAGGTACAAAACTAGAATATTTAAAAATTAAGTTTGAAATGTTTAGAAATAGTTTAAAAAAAAAAAAAAGGTTATAGATCACCTTACAATAGTAATTTATTTTGGCTTATTGGCAAAAATCCATTGACTGTAGGCTGGTTATTTCTTCAAAAGGTCCACTGTATACATAGAAAATTTCCAAGACACAGTCTTCCAAAACACTGATTTCATGAAATTTTGTTTTATATGCTTTATAGAAGCATGCAAATCTAGAGAATTTAGCTATTTAGATTAAAACCATGCAATCTGATAAAATCTATAACAGTTTAAGTTGTTTTCAAAAAAGAAGGGGTTCATTTTTGTAAATATGAATTAGGTTCTGTAATAGAATGGAAAATTAGCTTAACTTAAAAATTAGGTTAATTACAATGTTCAGAAGCACTGTAAATCATATCTCAAACATGTATGCAAATTAGTTTCTGCAAACCCTTATTATTAGTGTTCCTTAAGGATAATTACTCCTGTGATTAAAATGAAAATCATATTATAGCAAATTTAAATTTTCTTCATGTCTTCTAATGGGGTTCAGGACAATCAACCCCAAAACATGGCACCATAGCATTTGAGCCAAAGTAGAAGGTCTCTTTGACCTTCTCCCACTCTTTTCCCCTTAAGCAGGCCATAAAAGAAATTCTCTGACCTTCCTCTAAAGTAGTGTAAGACTTTCAATCCAGAAGTATATCCTCTACTTGGAGCAAAGAAATATCCTATTCTGAGACACAGAAATACCAAGAAGTACCTAAACAAAAAGGATTTGCTAAATTCCTCCCAGTTTATTACCATTAGATCAGATCCCCTTTGTTCAATCATATTTCTGCATGACTAACCACTCATCAAACCTAGCATAAAAATACCCATTTCTTTGGGTTCTCTTTTTTTCTTTT